GTTAGAGCGGAAAAAATAAATTGGGTGTCCAGAGGAGAACGAGCTGTGTGGGAGGGTATGGAAGAGTAGTGGAAAGTGTCCACTCCAAACCGAACTGCACCTTCAAATACTATGCCTTTCGAACATCTTTCACTCAATTCGGTCCAGATATGCTGGCACGAAGTGAGGAGTTTGTGACAGGCAAGGTGTGCTGGCAGAAAGGGGATCAGGCAGGGATTACCCATCCACTGATAGTGCCGACGCATCGAGAAGGAACAGAGCGGTGCACTTACTTCAGTGCTACATATGCAGTACATATGAAGTGCGCCCCGCAGACGAAGACCGGAGTCCTAGTTTTGGATCGAGGGTTCCGCGCACTTGAAGATGTAAGTCGAGTTGCCCGACTACGTCGTCGTCTATTGTATGTTCGAACTCGAAGAAGGCCGATACGTCTACACTGGTGATGAAATCAGATATGAACAACCTATAACGAGCGACCATGATGAATGTTCAGTTGCCGTCTATTGTGAGATACAGCCAGCCACATGTTGGAGTGCAGTATGTAAATCATGGGTTACAGTTCGCTGTGGTCGAGAATACTTCCAATTTTTTCGTCGTATTCATGTTGTCGCATTTGTTTCGTGAGCACTGATTAAACTTCAGTCAGTTACCGTAACTGTTCATATAGCTCTGTTCTTTTGTCTTGTATTATCCTAGTATTCGATTCTTTGTTGCGACATTGATCGTTGCTTGCGAGTGCATTTCATCTGAACATGGCTATGCTCTCTTTGACTGGTGTTGTGATCGATGAAGTTGTGAAACAACTGGTTAGTAGTAATGCTCGTCTTGGTGGAGCCCTTCATAATGCCTTGCAACAACAAGTGGCATCTGTTATTGATAGGGCTAATGCTGTGAGCCGACCCTAAGAAAGTCATGATTACCATCAAAGAACAACTTACAGCCGACGAGCAAATGACGCTTGAGCGTCTTTATCCGGAACTCAATTTTGACTTCCGTTTGTGCCTTAATAAGACTCATCCGATGGCGTCTGCTATGCGAACATCATTTGATTATGCGGCGCTTGCATTACAGTCGTGCGGCCGTTGAAAACAATTATGGTTACGACAGTTTGATCTGTGATATCGGAGGAGATGTGGCTTACCATGTGCTTGAGAACAACGTTGGAGTTCACTGTGATTGTCCAGCTTTGGATCAACGTGATTCCGTGCGCTTTTATTCTAAGATCAGTCGTCTGAGGTCGTTTATTGTTGAACACGACAATGATCCTTTTGTGTCATCTAAGGACAAGGCGGTCATTGATATGTGCCGTGTCGTTGTTCGGGCAGCTAACGACAAATGCGTTGATACCGACGTCTTCTGTCGTAAGAAGGCGCAAGACTGTATGCGGACGGCTCGTTTCGGGATGCTCATTCACTCCAATTATGATATTAGTCTGAAGAACTTGGCCGATATCATGTCTCATAAGAACATGGAGATGCTTATGGGCACTTTCATCTTCATTCCCGAAATGCTTATCGCGCCTACAGGTCGTGTTTCGGCTTTGGGTGCTCGTTATGTGATAGATTCTGATGCGGATACTATCACCTTTATGTTTGAGGGTTGTTCTTCTTTTAATTATGTTCATAAATTTAGTCGTTTTGTATCTTACGTGACTGAGCATGTAGTGTACGATTCTGATCATAAGCGTCCTTATCTTCTGGAGCTACTTGAGAACCGTGGTGGTGTGCAGTACTTTAAACTTAACCGTGTTTTCGACGATTTCAGACCTGAAAAACTTCAACATTGTTTGTGGTTGGATTCTCTGAAAGACAAATACGTGGTGCGGTTCCACCGCATAGACTATGACAGCCTCGCTACGCGATCCAAAAGAAACACCATGCCTATGATTTCTTGCGTGGCTGACACCAAACTTGTTGGTCGTATCATGAGTCAAGCTATGATGCAGTCTGAGAACAAGTTTAAACCGCTTGAAATTTTCGCCTATATCCACGCCTGTGGTCGCATATTCATGGGATCGGACATCGTCCTCAGACACGAGCCTCTCACTCACGACCAAAATCTTATTTTGTCTTTTTCCATCTATATTGAGGTCTATAAACAAAAGTTCGATTTCGGTAAAGTGCTACACA